AGACTGGGGCTTGTAATTATTGCAATCAGGAGGAAACAGTGGAACATGTATTATTAGAATGTGATAAATACTCAGAGGAACGTCAGCTTCTAAAGTCATTATTAAGTAGAACGAATATAAGACTGTCTATGATCAATCTACTAGGCAACAAATCAAATTATGTTAGAAATGTTTTATTTAGGTTTTTAAATAATACTGGGTTAATGAATCGTATTTAGAATATGTGCAAGTATGTGTGTGTATACCAGTATATGCTCAGGCATACTTACATGTATTTAATGAATATGTTAGATGTGAATTTACACAACGTACACATCATTGAGACATGCTAAATTCCCTTGGAGATCTCTGATGACCACACTCCAGTCTGGTAGGTGGCGGTAAATGCACCTTAAGTTAGATGCCAGCCGCCAATAAAAATCAAAAGAAGAAGAAGAAGAGCAGAGGAGCTGAAGAACAGGCTGTGGGTGACAAGCATCTGAGAGCCAACTGGAGCAGCCAAAACATGACACTTGTATGCTTATAGGGATTTCTGAGGGTAAAGGTTTCCAGGAGGACACTGAGATGAAGTAAGTAGAGGTAGGTATGATGAAACAAGACAGTGGATAGTGATAGGACAACACAGAGGGCTGATCCAGGTGAGAGGCCCAAGGAGATAGCAGGTGGGGGGAAGGCTGCAGAAAACAGGTTAATTGGTTTCAGGAGGAATTCTAAGACAGGTAAGACACAGGCAGATGTCTGCAGGCTGTCTTTAATATACACAGGGAACGTATGGTTACTCAATGAAATCAATATAAACCTTAGAGGGCTATCACCTCTGGTACTGTAGCTAACATAAAGTTCCAGCGAAGACTGGTTATTTCTCAGGAGCATTAACTCCAAATGTAGATTAGCTGCAAGTGAGTAAAGTTGGCTCTGCCCCTGCAGCAAAAGATCAGTAAATTTACACAAAAATAGGCAGCAACTACTGGAAAAGTCTCACAAAGTCATCTCATGAAATTTATTGACAGAATGCTATGGTGCACAGTTATAATCAACGCAAAAGATGTCTACTTTGAATAATTTAAAATCTAAAACATTTTGGTTTGCTAACCATTTTTAAATTTACTACATGGTTTTTTATGTGTTCCTTCATAGTCTGGATGACTTCAGTATTAGTTTACAATGTAGGAACAAAAAAATGCAATAATGTGTCCAAACTTTTGACTGGTGGTGTGTTTATGTAGGTGCGCTTGTGCATGTGTGTATAAAGTATAACCAAAATTTATATATCATCATCAGAAGTCTAATGTATTGAACAAACCTCAATTACGTAAGAATGAAAGACTGAACATATTGAAGGAAAATCTCATTACATTGAATTAACCTTGAATATATTGTATGAAAGTCTGAGTTTATAGAATGTAAGTTTGAATATATAGAATGAAAGTCTGAATATAGGGAATGAAAGTCTGAGTATACTGAATAAACCTTTAATATATTGAATGAAAGTCTAAATATATGGAAGAAATAGTCTGGATACACTGCATGACTATGTTTCTGGCACCAAGCAGGTGTGCCATTTTGATAAAGATTTTTACATATTTGGGAGGCGTTGTGGCTCAGCTGGTAGAGCCGATGCCTCTCAGCAAGAAGGTTGCGGTTCAAATCCTGGCCCAGAGACCCTTCTGGGTAGAGTTTGCATGTTCTCTCTACGCATGTGTGGCTTCTCACCAGGTACTCCAAAAACATAACGATTAGGTTAATTGATAACTAAATTTTCCCTAGGTGAGAGTGAATGGTTGTTTGTCTCGTTTGTCTCTGTGTGTGGCCCCGTGATGGACTTGCGACCTGTCCAGGGTGTACCCCGCCCCTCACACTGTGACTGCTGGATATGGGCACCAATGACCCCGAGACCCTGAAAGGAATAAGCGGGTACAGATAATAGTACATGTGCATGCTTTGTAGCAAAACTACTTCTGAGACTTTCAAATTTTTAAAAAAATGTGAGGTTGTTTTTCTAATAATACGGTATTTTGTTTTGTAAATAGTCACGTGTCTTATTTATTTATTTATCSTTTAACAGATCAGAAAAGTCTAATTTGCTGTTAAAACAGAAAAAATAACATCTGAACAAACATTATGATAACTTCATTAACATATCATGCATGATCTATTCTCAATTCCCAAGTTGGCTAGCACAATTGAACGTATGTTCTTACCAAGTACACAGGGGCACCATGGCAAAATTAGGAACAAGTTGCGGACACTCAAACTGAGAAAAAACAGAAACAAACATCAAAAATATTGATTTTCTCTTTTTTTTCAAAATATATTCGTTGAAGTTATGAAGAAACCATCCCATGGTGTAAAAAATAGTTTCTGAGGTTTTAACATTGTTTGAATTCAGCCAGTTTTCAGAGTAAATTGCAGCCAGTTGCATTTGCGTTTTCGGGGATGGGCAGACACACAAATGATTTACATGCTGACTTTGTTTGGCTGTTTGTTGACACACTTTTGTTGTGCATTTTGGCCACTAAGCTGCAGGACTGAAAGAAACACATGGGTATTTAAACAGGTAAATGCATTTTGTGAATAATTATGTGTTGAGCTGCACGCTTTTCTCAAGAACTGAACCGCTGCCTGTTACAGCGTGTCGCTGTGGCAGTACCTACTTCAACACCAAGGCCGACGCTGATCTACCTTCTGATATCACAATGTTTGATACTTTACTGCCAGCACTTTGTTCCAAAAATAAAATGCTTCCCCAGAGCATCTGGCCAGAGGCAGGTTCTTTTCTTTTTTTCCTTCATTTTACGCTGCTTATTTACACACTTTGACTGAAGATAGAAGCCTTTGCTGAATCTGACGTGGCATATTYGTACAAGCCCTTTGTACAAAAAAGTAAGAAATTTAGGATAAAAATACAAAATTGTTCTTGCATGAGCCCCAATGTTTGTGAACTGACACCACTCAAATAAAAATTTGAGGTCCACTTCCTAGCATTTTTTGTGACAAGTGCCAAGTTCCCACTCTGTTTACCACTGCCAGTGGCACAATGCAATGTGGGATATGTTGCTGGCCACAAGTACATGCATGATTTGAAACTACATTACTGTTAATTATCTTATGCCATGCTGACTCATTGTATGATTCAATATCTTCAGACTTGCATCCTATGTGTTTGTTCAAGGTTCATTCCATATATTCAGACTTTTGACAATCTGTATACATACTGTATTAATTTCCAGAGTGGCATGCCATACCCAGTGTATACACACACATACATTACATTACATTATACACTGCCTGACCAGAAAAAAAAGATGAAAAGATGACAATGCCTGATGAATATCAGGCTGGAATTGTGAAAGAGTGGTTCAGGGAGCATGAGACATCATTTTCACACATGGATTGGCTCCACAAAGTCCATTGAGAATATTTGGGTAGTGGTGGAGAAGTTCAGACTCTACCATCATCAAGATCTTGATGAAAAATAAATCAAAATCAGATGGAAATATATCTTGTGACATTGCAGAAGCTTATCGAAACAATGCCACAGTGAATATGTGCCGTAATCAAAGCTAAAAGTGGTCCAACAAAATATTAGTGTGTGACCCTTTTATTTGGTAGAGACTTTTTTTTTGGCCAGGCAGTGTGTATATAGCTATATATAGACATAGTGTGATATATACATTTGTATTGCATGTATACTGTAAAAATATTTTTATATTTGCAATTTTGTTCAGTTTTTTTTCTTTGTTTTTTAGGTTTTGGTGGAAAAAGAGTGGATTAGCTTTGGACACAAGTTTTCTGCTGTAAGATGTATTTTTCATATTAAGCTGTTCAGTAACAGTTTAGTGATATATTTGATAATGATAACTCTTTATTATGTTTTGCTGCAGCGTGTGGGTCATGATGAGGATTTTTCTAGCACAGAGCGCTCACCTCTCTTTGTGCAGTTCATAGACTGTGTTTGGCAGATGACTCAACAGGTTGGAGGGAATACATTGTATCATATATGTCTTCTTACTAGAGATGCACCTTGACATCAGTCAGTGCCRGCACCATATGGGTTAGTCAGCCTGACCAGCCTTGATCAGCGATTGGTCAGTCAATASTCAAAAATTAAWWTTTTTTCCCACTCACTGAATACATCACAAACAAACGTCTGTCTCTTGCAGGACTGCTGTGCACTGCTCATGAGGAATGTTTTTTTAGCATGGAAAACAATTATGAAGTTAAAATGAAGTTAGCTGTATTGACTGTAGTAGGGTATCTCCAAATAAAATCAGAACAACAGATAGCCTGTTAAAAAGAAAACAGCAGCACACTGGCGCTATGTTTAGCACTGTCACCTCACAGAAAAACATTGAATGTTTGCCTCCCAGCCTTTTAGTGTAGTTTACATGTTCCCAGTCTGTCACAGTTTACATGACAGACTGAAGTCCAGAATCCAGTGGTAGATATTGGAGGTTAAGCTAAGGTTGTGCCGTTGAAAGTGAGGTGCTGCGCAGCTGATCTACCCTGCCCCGTAAAGACATCAMAATCTGGCTTTCTGACTGGTTGGGGCTGTTTCTGGGGCAGAGTCTGGAGTCACAGAATAAAGAGAGGGTTTGCGTAATTCAACATGGCATCCAAATTGCTTAGCAGTTTTATGGCATTCAAAGCTGAAATTTGGTGGGTTGATAGTTGAGAGCTAACTCAACACATTCTGAATGCTAATCACAAGTTTAAGGTTACAACAGCTAATACAACTTTAAAAAAGGCTCTAATTCAGCCATTTTAGGACAAATTCTGAATGCTAAATTAAAATTCAAGATGGCCACCATAGCTAATTTAAAACGTCCATAAATCAACTATTTTAATACACATTGGGCTGAAATTGTGCATGATGGAATCTGATAACAATTCTCATCACATACTGAGTTTGAAAAAAGAATAAATAAATCAAGCTGRCTGCCATAGCTAAAAYGTAAAATTGACCATACCTCTAACATTTTTAGAACTATWAGGCTGAAATCTGGGATAGTGGTAKGACAGTGATCTACAAATAGAAAATTCAAACTGTAAGTTTAAAATAGATGCATTTCATAGTTTCTCCAAGAACTATTCTAGTTGTCACTACTGTCATAGTTGTAGGTGTTATGGTTTTCATTTATAATTCAATTAAATTCAATTCAGTTATTATATGTCACAACATACGTTGTATCAGGGTACTGTACACAATTATTGTTAACTCTGATTGCTCTACTTTAGAAGTTATTACTGGTACTCATACAAGAGTGTAATCAGTATCTATTTTTTCACGTAAAACTTAAAACAGTGCATTATATTTGGTTTAGTTTAATTTTTTAAGCATGTTCATGTCATTGTGAATGCTGGTAAGATAACTGGTCTATTAAATCTCACTCCAACCCTTCACAAAAAATTGGTAAAGACAATGAGTAGATATTTTGTATTTTATTTACAATTGTTTTATGAAAAAATGTTAGAAAATCAGTATCAGCAGGTCAGAGCTGTACAAATACTAAAAATCGTCATTGGTGCATCTCTAGTCCCTTCGTTTGTTTTCCTGAAGACCCAATTTTCAAACAGTCTCAGAATAATGTGCATTGTGCCTGWGATACTTCATATCACTTCTTGTAATAAACTTTCTTTTYCCCCTTTTTTTACCTGTAGTTTCCAGCTGCCTTTGAGTTTAATGAGCTGTTTCTCATCACAGTCCTGGACCACCTGTACAGCTGTCTGTTTGGTACATTCCTCTGTAACACTGAGCAGGAAAAGGTAGCCAAGGTACATGGTAAAATWTTTGCAATAACCCAGAAATATTTTTTGGTAAACTCTACATCAGGCTACTTTCTATTGAAGCGTATTGATGTCATGGACGAAAATGAAAAAAAAAAAAAAAGATAAACGTTTTGTCCGTCAGAGTAAGGAGGAGGTCATGTGACTGAAAACTATCTATGAATAGAAGTTTCACCACTTGTGAAATGTGTTTAAGGTGGAAATAATGTTACTCAAAGTACAGTGAGACATTGGTTATGCTGATAACCTAACAATAAACTGTCTTCAGCTGTACTCCCTGGTCCTAGATTAGACCAACTTCCTCTTCCTTTTAAGTCTCRTTGTCAATGCAGTCTGAGAACTCACTACCGCCATCATCAGGATGAAATTATCACGTTTGTACAATATAATCATTAAGTTTATATGATATAATTATCACGTTTATACAATATAATATCATGTTTTTACAATTATCACATTTATAGCACATTTGTACAATATAATAGTACATTTAAAATATACTATCATATTTGTACAATACAAGTATATTGTTCAAATGTGATAGCGTTCAGACATTTATTTTCCTCCATGACATATATGCTTCCGTAGGTTGCTGTTTTCATCAGGCTAAACATACCAACACATTCAAAGACTACTATGGAAAATACCTTTGTTTTCATTGAGACATTTAGCTTACTGTGACTTATTACTTTTATCAACGTTTGTTTTTCTTCCATATTTTAGGAGGTTCAAACCAAAACTGTGTCCCTCTGGTCCTATATCAACAGGTAAAATCCTTCTTTCTGTGAAATGCCTTTGTAGAKTAAAGAATTAAACTCTGATGTCCAGTATTGTTCCCCATTAGCCAAGCTGACGATTTCACCAACCCCTTCTACATGGACTATCAGAACTATGTTCTGTGTCCCCTGGTTTCTTCCAGACACATCAGGTTGTGGACAAGCTACTATGTCCGCTGGAGCCCACGTATGAGACCACAGGTATATTCTTACCAGATAAAAGTTTTTTTTGGGTCAGTGACTTAAAAAAATAATATTACAATGTAAAGTTTTCACTGCTCTGACATTGTAAAAATAGTTTCACATTGTGAAATAAATATAGCATTTATAGTACTTATATAGTGCTTCTCTATCCAGCCAGGATACTCACAGAGCTTTACTTGTGCCCTCAGTCACCCATTCATACACATATTCATTCAGCATTCTACTAGATCTCTCTACAAAGCTAATACAGATAAACCAATCTGCAGAGCTGGGCAGTATGACCCAAATTTTATATTATGGTATTTTCATATCACGTGGTCGGGAAGAACGTCCTCCGCCCTATCTTAACCTGAGTGGTGTTTTGTTATTGGACTTCTGTGCTCGTCATGGATTGTCCATAACGAACACCATGAACAGCCGTGTTGGCTCCAATGGTATAATGAGGGTCTGCTGGGAACGTCTGGCAGAGTCTCCCATCAGACTGAGCTTCAACTCACACCTCCAGGGGAACTTTGAACACGTTCCGGGGGAGGATGGAGACATTGAGTCCGAGTGGGCCATGTTCCATGCTTCCGTTGTCAAGGTGGCTTACATGAGTTGTGGCCGCAAGGTTGTCGGTGCCTGTCTTGGCAGCAACCCCTGAACCTGCTGGTGGACACCGACAGTGAGGGATGCTGTCAGCCTGAAGAAGGAGTCCTACTGGGTCCTTTTGGCCTGTGGGATTCTGGAAGCAGCTGATAGGTATCAGCAGTCCAAGCAGCTTGCTGCTTGGGTGGTCGCTGAGGCAAAAACTTGGGCATGGGAGGAGTTTGGAGAGGCCATGGAAAAAGATGGCTAAAGACGGCTTTGACGCGATTCTGGTCCACCATWAACACTGTTTATGKTGGGGATGGTGCGCTGACCTCAACCCAGGTGGTTGTGTGTTTGTGGACAGAATGCTTTTAAGACCTCCTCAATCCCACTAGCATGTCTTCCATTGAGGAAGCAGAGCCGGGGGACCCTGGGTCAGACTTTCCAATATCTGGTGCCTAGGTCACCAAGGTGGTTAAAAAGCTGCTCGGTGGCAAGGCATCGGGGTGGATGAGATTCACACGGAGTTCCTTAAGGCTCTGGATGTTGTGGGAAGGGCTGCCACAAATGATTATTTTAATAATCGATTAATCATCGATTATTTATTCGATTAGTCGATTAATCGGATCATACATTAATTGAATATAAAACATAGAGCTTATCAYGTCAGAATGCAGCTGCTATTATATAGCCATCGTTAGATTTTAGCTATATGCTAACTAAAAATAATTGCTGTGGAAGGTAAGTTCTGCTCTGCAGATATTACACAGGTTTCTCTTTCATTTTYTTAAAATGATCCCACACTTTTGAGCTCCGCTGCTGGGGAGCCATGACACCAGAGCCTGTCTGTAATGTCTTGTGACGTCCACGGCCTACCCCAGTTAYCACTACTGTGCATGTGTGTCAAGGACAGAAAGGCAGATGTGGCAGTGGAAGGTGTCAAAGCAGTTTGGAGAGAAAAACAAAGAACAAAAAACAAAACAAAAAAAAAACGATTTATCGATTATTAAATTAGTCATCGATTATTTTAATAATCGATTAGTCGTCGATTAATCGATTAATCGTGGCAGCCCTGGTTGTGGGGTTACGTTGGTTGATGCGACTATTTAAAAAGGGGGACTGCAGAGTGTGTTCCAACTATAGGGGGATCACACTTCTAAGCCTCACTGATAAGGTCTATTCAGGGGTCCGGGAGAGGAAGTTCATCAGATAGTCGAACCTTGGATTCCGGAAGAGCAGTGTGATTTTTATCCTGGTTGTGGAACACTGGACCAGCTCCAGGGTTTCCCCTTGGATTTTTTTTAACCGCTTGCACCCCCCACCCCACCCACGTGGGATTAATACTGATTTTTTTGCGCAAATTACAAATTTTTGACACTAATTGTACAGGTCAACGTCTGAAGGGGTTGACATGTATGGACTCTGAACTCCCGGGCTGGTATGAGCTGCGCTGCAGGTGGACAGGTGCAGTTTCTGCAGTCGCTGCAGCTCGCTTTAAAAACAGTCAGGTGATCTGTCACAGTTTTGTTGTGCTCGTGAACACATAGTGTTTCGGTGGAAATGCTGTGAGATACTTTTAGAAATATAATATGTATAAAATACGACTTAATCCTTGGCAGAAAATAGTCCAGGAAACACTGAGGGCTTTCCCGGGAGGTGTTCACCTGAGCTGAGTGAAGCAGACCACCCACCCACAGAGAAAGAAAAAAAGCCAGCGCTGTCAGTCAGACGGCACGACCTGCCCTGCTCTTTTCTGAYTGGGTAAAACTTTGACTGTGGTTCTCGTTCTGGGGTGAAAGAACCATCAGTTTAATCCCTAGATGGCTTTAACAAGTTTTTTTCCTCCCGTTCATTTTTACAACCCACGGCGGAAAACATTGATCGAGGTCTTTTTTTCTTGGTTGTCCACCAGACAATCGGGAGGCGGGACCTGGTTGTCCGAAACGAAAATAGATTGTCTCGATCA